AGAGGCGGTCAAACAATGACTTGGCAGCGGAGTATGAGAGCCATTACCAGCAAACTCAGTTGCGCTGGTCACTGCCGTCTTCCTGGATGGGGACCCCGAGTGGGGTCACATCAATGGCTAGAGACATTGTCAGACATGGCCCAGTCGCGCCCTCAATGGCGCTCGCGCATCCAAACTATTGTCTTCAACGCATAGCTCCTTTTCCAACCCTCCTTCACTTGACATCCCACTGACAGTACTGGATTTATGCACCAATTTATCATCTCCCATCTGCAATGCGCACCTATCTACACTCCCCCCCCCCAAATCATCGGTGAACGAAACGGCGGCAGCTACAACCACTGTACGAGGAATACGCGGTTCTTACAGCTGCCAACGACGATGATGATGATTTGGCCTTGAAGTCACCCGGCCATTTGTGGCCGACTTTGTGTGACTGTCTCACGCGGGAGCCCGTTTGCCCCTTGGTTTGTACTTTTGTAGCCCAAGTGTACCATTTGTTTTGGACGAGTATCTACTGTCGAGGTTTGTATAATTTTTGAATTTGTCTTACATTGATAGTAGCGTATAGAAACCCAGCTCCGACTTTGTTTTGCCTTCCCGGAGATTCTGGTATTACGCGTCACTCTAAGATACCGTTTGCCCGTTAGAAGGGTCGTGTTGATCACTGATGTCATGCTGTCGATGATGCTGATGTTGCGCGACGAGTGTTGCAGTCCTTCAATCGACGAAATCTACAGAACACTTGCGATTTCTTACAAAACTGAGCAAGGGTGAGGTTCGCTCTACCGGTGAAGTCAAGACAACCCTTCAGTGCGGAGCCCTTCACCGACCAACACGAACAAATCAGTCGCAAGCTATTATACACGACAGCAAAACATCTGACTTGCATAGAGCGTTCTTCTGAACTGTTCTGGACGTATTTTTGGGCTTTTACACCTGGGCAGATAATACTCACACGGTTCATCAGTAGTATACACTGTTAGACCACGAGCCTATATTAGGTGATCATGGTGCACTGGTGAACTGTGCTCTTTTTTCTGCTTTGCGACACATTTTCAGCTGCTTAATGCGCAAAATTGGTGACCGGAAGTCATCATCATCACCACTATTATCATCAAAGACAGCAACAACAGTGTTGACACTGATGTTTCGCCGCCGTACAGCCATAAAATTCGTCTAATTATATTAAAAGCCCTAGAGTAAAAAGAAGAGAAAAACAGTGGGTGAGGTAGGGGACCTAGTGCTGGCCTATTTCAAGTATACTGAGGTGCCTACACCTCCAACCGCTCAATCAGACAATCTGGAAAGAAACTGACAGCACGAACGCCACTGACATCGATTAGCCGCCATTTCTTGCAACGTCTCCAGCCAAGCGCAGACGGGGTCACGGGGACCCCATCCTGGAAGTCGCACAACACAAACAACACCCAAACTCTTCGTGATCTCTTTCACGCTTTACTGCCAAGTCATGCGTTGTCCATCTCGCGTTTGCGCCATCCTGAAGAAGGCACGGAGAACAACACTCGTCTCGGTAGACGGTGTTTCGGCATGCGTAGCACCTGACAGAGTCATCGTGGTTGCCGATGTCTTCCCTGACTGAAGTACTTGCCGTTCTCTATTCACCTCGCTGACGCCATCCGAAACCATCCATGCTTCTGAAGCATCGGTGGTCAAATACCTGAAGACGCTTCACATCATCTGTTTGAAGAGGCCACGTCCCGCACCCATACAACAACACAGCGCGAACTGTAGCCTCGTACACACGACCCTCAAGATCAAGTGAGATGTCTTTTTGACACCACAAGTGACGCAAGCTAGCGCTGACTTCATCAGACACACTTCCGTCGGAGCTAATACAACTATCGAGGTATGTGAAATTCCGGTAGTTGTGTGTGACTGGAAGTTCCGTAGTTCGAACACAACCCCCGAATCTTGACTGCTCCAGTCTTCTCAGCCTTCGTGCTTCTTCGGGATGGTGAGTCACCTATGTTCCGGGGGGGCGTTACAGCTGGACGGTTCTTTTCTTGTTTTCATAAGAGCGATGCCTCTGTGGTGCTCACTGTCTGCTGTGGTGTCTTTTTGGAAAGAGGGACAATAATTAAAAAACCGCCAAGCCTTTGGTACTTGCTGCGCTTTCCATAATACAGTGCATCAAACCTGTAATCCCACGGACAAGTGCTAGGCTAGGGCTAGTGAGGGGGAGTCCGACCCAGATGCTTTGCTTCTTTTTTTCAGGAGCTCTTTTCGGACTCCCGATTCAAAGGACCAGGATTCCATTTTAGTGTAGCAAGCTTGACAGTGAAATAATCGAAGACTTTCAACACTCATTCAGGACCGAGCCGTGACTGTCCCGGGTCTAGTGAGCCGGTCCCGGTCGGGTTTTTCTTACAGTTTGACTTAGAATTTAATCCAGCCGCCAGTAATTCCCCTCGTTCCAACATCTTGATGTATTTGGCAGTCTGGTTTTTACTGACAAGTGTGCAATTCAACGAAAACAGAGGCAGGAAAATTCCCGAAGTTTCCCAAGAATTTGGGGAGTGTTCGTTGAAACATGAGGCCTTATTGATCGGTCTACGTGCTTTGCTAGCTGTATGATTTGGTCTCTTGAAGCCGAATTTACTGTTGAGGTCTTCTTCAGAAGAGAACACCCCCAAAAAGAGACATGTTCGTTTTTGTGGGTTCTTTTAAAGGAGGGGAATACAGTGGGGGTTTTGTGATATGGCCGATCGCATTCCCGTGCCGATGACAAGACCTTTAGCAAAGAAATCACAATAACCCTATTCCCATGCCAATGACAGGACCTTTAGCAAAGAAGTCAATTATTAGATCTGGACGGAAGCACAGCAAAATGTGGGAGCATCCGTAGACTCACCTGTCAAAGAAATCACAATAAATAGACCTGGTCGGAAGTCAAATGTGGGAGCATCCGTAGACTCACCTGTGCCACCATGGATGCGATATCTCCAGTCTGCGAAGGCAGCAGTATGGTGTTGGTTTGTTTGGCCAAGCCGCTGAAGGCTTCGATGTATTGTTCAGCCACGGCGAGCTGGACAGCCGAGGCGCCGTGCTATGCGGGAGAGAAAGGACAAATTGGCGATAAGTCTCAAGAAAGCATTGAGCGGGGCCACCGGATGAGTAATCGACACCAAGTGGAATTATCACTCTGAGGGAAGACCCTACACGCATAAGACTTTTTTCAGTCATGTCTTTAAAGATCTATCCAAGCCTATCTAGGCAAACAACTCCGGCTCGACAGCGCCGGTCCTGTAACAGGCTTCTCCCTGTAACCAGCACCGAACGGAAGGGCTACTCGTGAACAAGCCTCAACCGTTTGTTTCGGTTAAGCCCTAGTGGGCAGAGAGTTGCACACAGCAATCTACCATCCTACACAAATCTGTACACCAACATGTTTGTAACAGGAGACTCAACTGAGTCTCTAGTGTATGAGAATCTTCGATTGAATGTGTTGTACACAGGCAGTCTCATGTTCAATATTCGAGACATCGCAGTACATTTTCTTGGCGGCACACTCTACTCAGAAGGTTGCTGAAAACTCTTCGACAGCACACGACTGGTCTCGTCCTTCTTGAGGCTCATTAGGTAGGCGCAGTCCGTCAACCACATGTTCTACTTGAACCCATATTGCATGAAATCAGCGGACTACACTCATTTGTATACCAATTTGATCTTAGCCCTGTAAGTAGTTTACTACAAGGAAATCTACCACTGTAACTGTGATACTACTGATGAGGAAGGCATGCGAGCAGTATGTTCTCCAGAGAACCCGCTTTGCATCTCTTGCAAAGTGTAATCTATTACGGAGTTTGTGCAGTCGCTTTGTAACACTTACTTGGATTCGAGCAACGGTCAATGAATATCCAGAGAAGTTCAAAAAGACGCGTTCAAGAAGATGGATATTCGGTTTTGTGAACAAGAGGCATATGAGAGTTTTACTTCCCTATCCAATGGCCTGTAACTGGTCAGTTGGCATTTTCTAATAAATAACTCGGCAGAGAAGGCCTTCTTCCTTTCACCACGATACCTCTAATATCGTGCCAACTGAAACAAGAGGCGGCCTCGGTGCAGCACATTCAGTTGGAGAATATCATAAACGGGGGATTCAGCTAGGATTCAGGTGAGCCTTCCGTCTAAATCAAATGTGTAGGCAAATGAGAACACTTGGTGAATTCCGTACAATTTGGGCTCGAGCAGAACCTAAGTTTGAGGGAAATTCGGGGATTGTGCCTACCTGCTGAGTCCCAGGAAGAGCGAAACCGGTTGTATGCTATCAGTTAAGCAAGGCAGAAAGTGGAAGACTTCAAATATGGTAACAAGTGAGAAATGAATTGAAAAACGCTAGGGATTCGGACCTAGTCGGGGACAGGAGTGGCAGATGGGCTTTCACGCATGAGAGGACAACTTTGATCCATTTTGTGGTGCCCCTCCCCAAAGGAGGGACCTCCCCTTTTCCTCGATGGCAGCCGCTACCAGACGAACCGCCTCAGCTCGAGATTCAGCCAAACGACGAACGGCTTCAGCTTCACCTGAAGGAAAAAGAGAGAAAGTAACCATATGCAGTGCTATTAGTGGTGTTTGAATGAGCCTGCGCTCTGAAGTAGGGGAAGTTACAAAGTTTGGGTTGATCGATGGCCCCATCCACCACATGCTAGACAAGTTGGGCCCAGGAGCAACACTGTAACACTTTTGGTGCCATGCCACCAGAAGGAAGCAACGCGAAACAATGCACAAAAGCTGTTCGCAACTTGTCGCCAATGTCCTGGCAAATTCACCTTCAGGGTAACTCTAACACAAGGTATAACCGGCCCTACTTGGCCAGATTCCTCTGACCTGAGCAAAGGATGACCACGGGAGAAACGTCGGTGCTTGTTTAAAGGGATACTGGGTGCCTTATAGGGGTCCTGCAACGAATGCACCACCAGGTTGGGACCCGCTGCTTCATTCAGCCACTCTATACACAAACTGAGTGAGGAGCGCTTTCTCTAGACGACAAAGTCAGGCTCACATGGAACATTCAATCAATAAGTTGTCTGAAAGCAGAGTCGTAACCAATTCATACACCATGATAACCAGTGTCCTCAGAGCCAAGACCCTCCTAATATCTAATATGTCCACGTGGTGTTGTCCAGTTTTATGGCTGACCAAAAACTGTCGTTTATCCCTCATTAGGGAAACTACTCACAAGGTTGCTGAAAACTCTTCGACACCCGACGATCGGATCGCCCTTCCCGTGGCTGATCAGGTAGGCGCAGTCCCCGAGCCTCCGCCGACCTTATGTTCTAGCTGAGACCAAATTGCACAAAATTAGCTCAATACACTCATTTGCAAACAAATTTGGTTTTGCGGGGGACTCACCTAGAACCCAGCTGAATCTCTCGTTCGTTATGTTTCCAGGCCGCTTAATGCTTCAGCTGCTATGATATTCGAGATGTCGCGATATATGTATATTCGTAATACACTACTCATAAGGTTGCTGAAAATTATTCGGCAACCACGACCGGTTTCGCCCTTCTTGGGGCTCATCAGGTAGGCGCAGTCCCCGAGTTTCCGTCAACCTAATATTCTCGCTTGTTTCGTTCGTCATGTTAACGAGTACGAATCAGATCACTTGCCAACATCGTTAGCGTGTCCCGCTTTGTTCAGTCTACTCGCAGTTCCGTTTGAGTAGCTGAACACGTGACGTAGTAAACACCTTATTAATCGACCTAATGCGACCAAAAACGAAACGCATTTTGTACTGGAAGTACACGCTCTTGGAACGTATTTTCCGTTGGATTCTTAGATCCCTGCACGAGCATTGGGCCCCTCTTCCATCCACGCCGAGACTTTTGAACAAGGGTCGTACGGCAGCGAAGCCGGTGATGTGACGGTGAGGTTTCTCCGCACTGAGGGTATCCTGAAACAAGAGTCCCAGGTTTGCCAACTGGGAAAGTGGGACTCGATCACCCAATCAGCAACTTCCACTTTAATAACTCCGAGCGGACATCGATCGACACCAGGCGTTGAGGAGCCGGCCGACGGATGGACTAGTTGCAGACAAATGAGTGTGTACCCAGAAATCGACTGGAGCATTGCCCCAGAACACCGGATCAGCAATTCTGAAGTACGTCGAATGGTATTCGGGAGAAATAATTCACCCTCGATAGATGAACTGATCACATTGCATAGGTTGCGCTGGTTTGGCCATGTGCTACGTATGCCAGTCGGCTGAATTCCTCGAAGGGCTCTTTTCGCACAACCACGTGAAGGGTGGAAGAGAGCCAGAGGCAGCAATTACCAGCAAACTCAGCTGCGCTGGTCACTGCCGTCTTCCTCGATGGGGACCCTGAGACGGGCCACATCAATGACTAGAGACATTGTCAGACATGGCCCAGTCGCGCCCTCAATAGCGCTTGTGCATCCAAGCTATTGTCTCCAATCCTCCGCCCACTTGACAGCTCACTGACAGTGCTGATTTTATGTACCAATCTACCACTTCCCGCCTGCAATGCGCGGCTACCTACCCCCCAACCCCCCCAAATCATCGGTGAACGAAACTGCGGCAGTTACAACCACTATACGACGAGTACGCGGTTATTACAGCTGACAGTCATGATGATAACATCCAAGAAAATCAGTCTAAGAATGGAAAACCTTGGGTTTTATTTAAGGCGCAGACAGTACTGATCCCTATTTAAAAACTGAATTGGTGATCACGGAAAACGCAGCTGAATTTCATCCGAATCTACCGTCTACGATATCATTCGACTAGATGTATTGTACAGAGGTAGTCTCGATAAGATGCATTACGAAACCTCCGGTTAAAACCGTTACCAAGATGAATGATCGTTAAACAGATGGACAAAAGACTGCGACGGGCAACAACGAACCTGTGGCTTTGTTTGTGATCTGAATCCGTTCACCTTCGGAAGCTAGCACCTGACTTCGTTTCATACCCTCCGCTCTGTTGATCGCCGACTCACGTTGACCCTCGGATTCCAAAATTGCAGCCCGTTTCCTCCGTTCCGCTTCCACTTGCATTTGCATAGCCTCCTTGATCTTCTGAGGCAACTGAATATCACCTTTGGTAAAAAAAACCACGATCATGAGCAACCAACCAATCAATGACTTACGAATTTCGTACCGCAAGCATTCGATACCCCAAGGTTCAGCTGCTTTGCCCAACACGCGGACAATTTGATGATTGAGCGCTTCTCGTTCCTTGAACACATTGTCGAGTGTGATCTTTCCTATTTCCGAACGCATTGTGGTTTGTGCCAACTGTGAAGGAAGAGATAGGAGGGAGAGATAGATGGTAGCTCAGTAGTTAGGGCGCGAACCCACTGCTCTGAAGGTCCGTAGTTTCTAAATAATAAATAAATAAATTGTTCAGCTGTTGTACCCTTTTGGTGCCTAACTGCCATGCCACCTGAAGGTTGCACGAGGGCTGGGATACTGTTAGGTTGCCCAAGCCTAGACAGGGGAAGTCGATTGGCAGAGGTCGGGTTCGAACCGCGGACATTGTGGCCAGTAAATTCGCGCTAACCACTTGGGCCATCTCGCCGCGATTAGGGTATCTCGAGTGTTCTTGAATGGACTCGGGCGACATGACAGTAGCTCAGCCCTCGCGATTCCTTCTGGTTAGAGCGCGAATTTAGTGCTTCGAACCCGGTCTCCACCTCTCGGATTCCCCCGTCTAGGCTTGAGCAACCTGACAGTATCCCAGCCCTCCTGCTCCCTTTGGGTGGCATGGCAGCTAGGCACCGGAAGGGTGTTGCAGTTGAATGATTTTCTTTTATTATCTTATCTACACAAAAGGGTGTCAGACAAGGATGTCGACTCTCTCCATTCTTGTTCAACTTCATCTTTGATTAAATAATGAGGCGAACACTGGACGGTCTTGAAAACCCGGGTGTTCAAATTGTTGCTGGTGAGAGCCTTGTCGATTTAGAGTACGCAGTTGACATCGCCCTCATCTTTTAAAACCAAAGCGAAGCACAAACATTGTTGAGTAAACTGACCACCACCATACTATCTTTTGGCATGCGCCTTGCACCTCCAAAGTGCAAAGTCATGCCTCCGCTTCAGAACGTCTGAACATACCCCTTACAATTCAAGGAGAAACACTGAAGGTTGTGGAGGATTCCACATAGCTCGGTAGTTTGTTTTTTGGCCTGACGGAAGTGTGTCTGATGAAGTCAGTGCACAAATCTGAAAGGCTCGAAACACGTTTTCTAATTTGCGTCACTTGGTGGTATCAAAAAGGCACATTGCTGGGTCTCAAGGGCCGCGTGGGCCAGACTACAATAAGGGTTTTATTGCTGTATGGTTGCGAGACATCGCCTCTGAAGACAGATGATGTGAGGCATCTTCAGGTCTTTGAACGCCGAATTAATTGGAAAACCGGTTTTTGTTGGTGCAGCAGGTACTTCAATTGCGGAAAACGTTCAATACCATCAACTACGGTGGCTCGGCCATGTGCTACGCATACCGAAACACCGTCTAACGAGGCGAGTACTTCCTTAAGAAGAAGACGTATGAATTGGCAGGATGGTGTCAGAGTCTGGATGTTATTGGTGAGATCTACCTACAAGGACACATACAGTCCACGTGACCTCTCTGCGCTTGGCTGCTAGTTTCTTTCCAGATCGTCTGATTGACCACTTGGAGATTTAGGCATCTCAGAATGCTTGCGATAGGTCAGCACCAGGTCCCTCCCTCATTCACAATCTCAACTTTTCACTTTAACTACAATTAGGTAGACGGTGTATTTGCAGGGCAGTGAAGTGTCAGCGTCAACACTGATTATGGTGATGATCTCTTCGGTGCAGGGTTGAAAGATAGTTTGTAAAAAGCACGAGAACTGAAACATCACAAGGTGATACATGCCTAGACAAGAGCAGTCCCAAAGTCGATGACGAACTGGAACCACAAATCAATCTGCCGGAGCTGGATCACCCTAACACAGACAACCATCGACAAAAATGCTGACGGTAGCTTGACCTCCAGCAGGGGAATAATGCAGACACAGCACTCCAAGCATTCATGGTAAACAACATCCCGGCAAGTGTGAGATGCTTACCTGGGTAATGGCAAAATCCGCCTCGGCCACCCCGTAAGACGCCAAATAGGGGTCTTTAACTTTGAGGAACAGCACGCCGTTGAGGTGCAGAACCACATTATCTGGAACAGGAAAATGGAGAAAGCAATGCTATGAGAGTAAGGGACACAAGCACCCACTGGGTTGTTGTTTGCTATGGAGTAGATAAAAATATTTCCCCTAAGACTTGTATCAAACTGCTGTCTCCATTTCCCGACCTAAAGCTGCCCCCTTGACGTGGTGGTCGGGCTTCAGTGCTGCAATGAGCACGCGGGTTACACTAGCTGGAACTTTGTTCCACAAGATGCAACCATGCCAGGAAGGCCAAAGGGAAGCAGGCAGACCAAGAGCAGCGGGACCTCGTACTACGAGCCGGTCTGGAGGTAAAGTCGTACTATCCTCTGCGACAGGAGTGTGAAGGCAGTACGGTGTTTCCCCCAGGCGACCAGCATGTCCATATTTATGGAAGCAGCGATGCTGCTTTTCCCCGAGGAAGGACGGGTTGGAAAAGGTAGGCCCCAAAAACCGCACACTCCGATCGCCCAACGATTGACCTTGACCGCCGGAGCATTATCCAACACGGTCGAAATACTTTTAAAACTAAAGAGCCCGGTGCTGCTCAAAAGGCACCTGCTGTGCACAACCGCATCAGGAATGAAACAGTAATGTTTCATGCCCCGCGCCCTCGGGTTAGGCCAACCCCCCGCAGCCGACTGGGTCAGACTGTTGAGTCATCGGCTCCGGAAAGGATCCCCAAGGAGAACCCTACTGCCCGCTGCCTCGTGAGTCAGACTTTTGAGTCAAGGTTCAAGGTGGGGTACCTCAACCAAACCCACGTCCCCGGCCTGGACAACTGGGAAGTATTATTTGCCCGCGCAATTCTTCCGTGTCCACCGATGTACCTCCCCAACCCCTTCCCATCACACAAACAAACGTCCCCGTTCCAAGGTCTTAGTGCCGAAAAAGATTCGCCGATATGGTACACAACTGCTTTTTGCGAACAAGCGAGCGCAAAAGTGACAAGGAGCCTCGCGGTATTTAAAGGGCACTTTTGATATTGATCCAGGCTGTCTGATCGGCGTTTGGTCAAGACCTATTACCATCGATCGTGCTTCTATGAAGTGCCTTATCAGAGTCGGTCGGGCTTCTGTGGTGTGCCTAAACACTCGTCGGCGGCTTCCGAATTGATTGACTGATTGATTGGCCCGGATGCTTGCCGGGTTCCCTATCGATATTTTGGCGCAGTTTGGGGGTCTCAGTAGCAAATTCAGGGGTTATTTTCAGGAATCTGAATTTCCTAACAATAACAGGGAGTAAATTTTACGCACTGAATTAAAACACAGAAAACAAATAACGTGGAATTTAAGCATTCTGGTAACATTCACCGGCCGTAAACAATTACACAATCAAAATGCCGATACATAAATTATCCCTTTAAAGTCGTATGGCTGAGAGGACCGATAAAAAATTAACCAGTGGTTGTGTCCACAATCAATCGGTCACTCGAACCACCCACTTTGAACGCACAAATTGGGTTTCAAACGTCTAATAAATATCGTTTCAGTGATAACCGGTCGTTGGTCCACTTGTTCGTAATGGCAGGTCAGGGGTTAAGGTGCGGACTTACTAACCAAATGGTTCGCAGTTCGAACCCAACCACGGTATTTTGACTGCTCCTGTCTTGGCTTAGGGAGCCTGGCAGGATTTCTGTCATTGTGCTTCATTCGGTAGCATCATCATCATCGATAGCACGACATCAGTGTTCAACTCCGATGCTTCGTTGCCATACAACCATGATTTAGTTGAAAGCCTCATTGTGAATAAAAGAGATAAAGGTGGGCGGGGAAGGGACTTAGTGCTAGCTTAATACAATCATTCCGAGGTGCATACATCTCCAGACACTCATTCATTCAATCTGGACAGAAACTGACAAGATCGTCACTGGCATCGGTTGGCAGCCATATCTTGCAGCGTCTCCAACCAGGTGCAGCGGTCCCCATCCTGGAAAGAGAGTAGCATCGACAGCACCCAAACGTCTTGTACTGTCCTCCATACCGTGTTAAGGGTTAGCCATCTCTCTGCTTCCACCGCTCTGAACTGGGCAGAGAAAACAGCAATCTCTTCCGCAAACGATGGTTAGGCATGCGCAACACATGTCCCAACCAACGTCTAGCAGCGTTGAAGTGAATACCCTTCACACTCAACAATGCACACAGCAATGCAGCCGGATACGTGTATCTTCGTACTGACTGACACACTTTGCTAATGAAATGATCTCTTCGAGAGAGTGGTTCCGGTATCAGACAACAACACCGTTGGCGCACTAATGAGGGCAAAGACGCAGTTGCAATGCCCGCTAACTTTGCTTTAAACTCATCGCCAGCTAACACTAAGTTAGAAGGACAAGGGGAGCTGTGTTGGGTACCCTATGGTGCATGGCGTAACCCCTTTAATGATAGAATGATTAGTGCGTGATTCAATCTGGACAGAAACTGACAAGATCGTCACTGGCATCGGTTGGCAGCCATATCTTGCAGTGTCTTCAACCAGGCGCAGTTGGGATCAAGCGGGAAGGGGAGTAGCACCGACAGCACCCAGATGTTTTGTAATCTCCTCCATACTAGGTTAAGGGCTGGCCACCTCGCTGCTTCCGCCACTCTGAATTGGGCAGGGAAAACAGCAATCTCTTCCGCAAACGATGGTTAGGCATGAGCAACACATGTCCCAACCAACGTCTAGCAGCGTTGAAGTGAATACCCTTCGCACTTAACAATGCATACAGCAATGCAGCCGGATACGTATATCTTCGTACTGACTGACGCACTCTGCTAATGAAATGATCTCTTCGAGAGAGTGGTTCCGGTATCAGACAACAACACCGTTGGCGCACTAATGAGGGCAAAGACGCAAATGCAATGCCCGCTAACTTTGCTTTAAACTCATCGCCGGCTAACACTAAGTAAGTTAGAAGAGGGGAGCTGTGTTGGGTACCCTTTAATGATTGAATGATTACGGTGCGTGAATACAGTTGTGAGAATGTGAGGAACGACTGACAAAAACTCGCAGCTACTTGACCTCACCTGAAGTAATTGCCGACTGATCTGGGATTTCGATCGCTACTTCTTTCAAGGACTGTACATAGGCTATGCGATCGAAAAATGGGATGCAAAAGTTGAGACCCTGTAAAGAAAGCGGTCATTTCGAAATTCTGAATGGGAAGAAATCGCACTGGACGGAGAGTTTTGTAGAACTTTCCAAGCCGTTCGATCACCCAGGCTTCTTTTTCCGGTACAAAAAGGATTCCCATATTTCTTGGCGTGCGCAACGCAAAACAGCGCTTCTGGACCGCATGCTAGAGAACGAACAGGAGGAAAAGTGGATTCAGAAAAGCTATCGAGGACAGAAAAGATACGAAGGATTATCAAAAGGAAAGAAAGGACATGGGTTAATGGTGGATGACACGTATCAACGATAAACCGGTTGATGTTACGACAAGATCATAATCATCATCATCATCATCATCATCATCATCATCATAATCATATCATTATTCGTCAGGCCCAAAACTTGTCCTACAATAAAAATCGGGACAAAGTTAACCAAACGAATGAACAGCAGCTGCAGGTAAGCGGTGCTCTATTATGTAGAGCCTTGTACATATGCACGCGAAGATTAATTATACAAATAGATCAACAGGGTTGGTTTTGAAAACAGTGGTTACCAGCGTAGAATGGGGACCAGGATAGCATAGCAAATAACATCCTGGAGCTTCGTTCAAGCGGACTGGGTGAATCCTTCTCCGAATGGCTTCTGAACTTCGTCTTGGTATGGCGTATACGCGTTGCGTCCAGGTAAACACGTAAAGAACGGAAGAAGTATTTTGCACTGAGTGAAACTAGTCTAACTGACCTAACTCGTCATCACCATCAACACCAAATCAGTGTTAAACATTAATGCTTCGCTGTATCAAAACCATATTGTGAAGAAAAGAATTAAAGTGGATTGGGAAGGAACCTACCAACTACAGACACTCATTCAAGCAATATGGAAATTGACAAGAAGGACACTGACATTGAGTAGCAGTCATATCTTGATTAAAGTGGATGGAGAAGGAACCTACCAACTACAGACACTGACATTGAGTAGCAGTCATATCTTGCAGTGTCTCAAACCGTACACAGGGAAACCACGTGAACTCTATCCTGGAAGGCGACTCACACTGATAGCACCCAAAATCTTTTTAATCTCATTCATAACCCTCTACTAAGTACAAGGTTTGCCGAAACTCTTCTTGCGCCACTGTGAATTGAGCGCGGAAAGCAGTGCCCTACATGCCAAATGATGGTTCGTCATGCGCAGTAAATGAAGAAACCAGCACACCTTTAGGAGTCCTTGGTAAACAATCAAAATCTCGTTTTCTAGTGGTCTCGTTACGAATTCGCCGGCAGCATGCTTCACGAGCTATAGCTCTGGGATAACGGTTACCGAAGACCCAAAAATGTCTCAGTTCCGCAGAGGCCATGTCTCACAACCATGCAATAAAATAGCCTATGTTGTAGCCTGACACACATCCCTCGAGATTCCGAAACACGCCAATTTGCCTCCCCAGACGTCTCAAACTCACAAATGACCCCCCCTGTTGACCAGAACGGTAAAGTTGTCGCTTGCGTGCTGTTCAACTTAGTAACCATAATACCGTAGACCCCAATTGCGGGGATGTCAGTCGGGTACTCGGGAAAGTAACCAAACTCAAATCAAAGCTCGCATCCGCCACCGTGGGCCCGTTACTCAAGCATCTGTCTCTTGTCTTTATCGCAGGTTTTGCCGGATTTGTAGGAAAACGGCCCACTAGATGCTATTGCGCACAACTTTGGTCGTTGTCTTGTCCGCTGAGCTGGGTAATTTGATTGCAGACGTTTCCCAGCTCAGCGAACAAGCCAACGACCATCTACGCTACCTGAGCTACCGAGATTTTCCTCTATAGCGTACAACTTTACTGATGGATATTCGTCGCAATCCGAAACCTTATTACAAAGGCCAGTGTAGCAAGGCGAATGGGCCTACGTTCACTATCTAGGTCTTATCGGCTCCGAACTTCAGGGCGAGCTGCGGGCTGTTCTAGTGGGGTGCTATGGTGTTGGTACAGCCTGAAGCTCCTAAAGCAAATGGGCCTATGTTCACTATCTAGGACTTATCGGCTCCGAACTTCAGCGCGAGCTGCGGCTGTTCTAGTGGGGTGTTATGGTGTTGGTACAGCCTGAAGCTCCTAAGCTGATGTTTACCCACTCAACTGGATGCCTGCGGACAGATGACTCGGTGCCGATCGAACGCCTAACGCCGTAAGAACCCACGCTGATTGAGGCACTAACTGTCCGTTATTTACAGTACCTAATTATGCACAAACTTGTGCAACAAATGTAAGTGATTCAGCGCAAAATACTTCCAGGTTCGAACCCGACCTCTGCCTCTCCCATCCCTGTCTGGGCTTGGGCAACAAGGTAGTATTCCAGCCCTCGTGCTTCCTTCTAGTGGCGTGGCAGCTAGGCACCAAGTGTTACAGCTGAACGATTCCTATTAGTGTTATCAAGCGCCAACAGAAAAGCAGCTGTTCATGGTTCCTTAACCCAAATTTTCTATTTTATGCTGCACTTGGTTGATGAGACTTACTGGGTAAAGATCACCCGCGAAATTGTGTTCAACCCGGTGAAATAGGCACATTTATAGTCAAGAATTGGGACGAAAGAGGTCGAAATTAAGGGGCGCGTTGAGTGAAGCCAGATGGTACAACTTCAAGAGCAATAACCGTATATTTTCCTCCATATGGTACTCGGTAATATGCTACTGAAATTATGTAACGACGCACCATGACATTAGTCTCGGTGAGCTAAGAGTTTAGCAACTCCAGACGAGATTAACCATCACTTTGGTTTTCATCTTGTTCGTTACTTTCGGTCGTGGACAACACGACCCTCCTAGTGTCTGTGCACCAGTCCCGACCAGAACACAGGAGATCCACATGGTTCAAGTGTAAAAACTGCGAATCCAAGGGCTGTAAATTGAAGGCTGGCTTCGTAGCCCACCTCCGAACTCACGTCCATGAAACTGTTGGCACAAATGTGGTCGCCCAATTAACCTATGCTGATTAGTGCCTCCGTTCTCTGACGCACACTGGACTGAGTCAACACCACAGACACGTACACCTCACTTAGCATAATGCATAAAAGCCTCGTCAGATGAAGAATTCCTGTGCCATCTGGTCCCACCAAAAGTCAGTCACTCTTATGCATGGCTAATAAAATATGTCCGTCCTGATACGCCAACCACCCTGTTCGTGAATTCAAGTTTGATTGAATTTATCAGCCATAAATCGTGTACAATAGGCACATTGGTTCCAGCTGCTGCAGTTTCGATCGCCGGAAAGTGGAAGAGTGGGAGGCGATGGCATGTCCAGTTAGTTCGGGGACTGGGTAGTTATACATTTAAGGCAATGGTTTTGATACACGAGGCCAGTGACTGCATGACTGGGCTGTTTCTGTCATTGTCATTAGTCATTGGTGAGCTCATTCCCGGGGTTCCCATTCATGGAGGCAGCAGGTGTTGACCCAACTTAGTATATTGGTTGGTGCTTCCATACTTAGTTACTAGGTCATACGCTGTCCACCGCTCGGTCACTTTCACTCAGCAAAGGGCATGGTGAAAATAGCTATGTAGCAGATGGTCTTCTGGCATGCGGAGCACATGTCCTAACTAGCGTAGCGTATGGAGCGTGAGTAATTCATTTATCACGGGAGGGTCCTTTCTTTTTAAAACGATCAGGCTCAGCCCAGCATCACTAATCCGATGTTCCCGAAAAACATAACCAATGCTTTGGAGACACCCATGCTCAAACACCGACAGCCTTCGTATGTTCTCTGCACGTAGAGACGACGTTTCTGATCCATAAATCGGTACGGACCATGCTACTGCGGTGTAAACTCTGCCTTTAAGGGACGCTGACATCAGGTCAACGCCATGGGTGCCGGAGATTGGCCTTCCTGATTCGAGAGGTGACCTCAACTCCAGCTAGTCCGCCGGAACCTAAATAAGTGCCCAAGTAAATTAATTTTCTGCCACGTTGATTAGCTCCTCTGCAGGCATGAGGATCCGGTCTGATCTTACCCAGTCTTGCAGCAGCTTTTTAAATCTTATAGGTGTGAAGCACCTGCAAAACCGTGCGCTGTTCATGATACCAGGGCAATATGTTCTTGGTCGACCTGCTATCCGTGTCAAAAGCAGGCTGTGCTCAAGTGACAAACAAACCCGGGCGGATCGTCATCTAGTAGCCCGATGAGGGCTCAGTGGTTAAAGCGCGGATTTACTGACCAGAAGATCCGTGGTTCAAACCACAATCTGAATCTCGATTACTTCCACCTTGGATTGGGCAGCCTGGTCCTTGTGCTTTTCTGTGGTAACATGACAGCTGGACACCGGAAGTTCAACCGCTAAAGGAGCCTCGACAAAACAATCGGCAAAGCAGTTCCACATCCATCCTATTGCGAGGCCTATGCCACCTGGTCCAAACAAACCGTGGATCTTGGATCCTAACTTTAACAGTCCGCTCGCAAATGTTGACCACTCGGCATTTGTCCGAGGGCCACCGTCGGTCACAAGGACACCAGAGTGGATCTTGTCCAACCTAGACTACCAGACATTCACATTTACACACCTGTTTCGACTCCGTCATTAGCAGGCATCAAGTTTACGGTGCAGTGCAATGTCACCACAACAAACCTTTCCTTTGGGGTAGAAATCTACGCAGACATTTTCTGACCCAGGTTAATTAGTCGAAAGGACTGTGACGAAGTTAATCCTAAGTTTCCACTCAACGGAAAGTATCTGGTGCCACGTAAAGTGGTATTTGTAATGAGGTGGCTTGCTATCGGACCTTTCGTCACTCGTACAGTGGATACGATACTTGCAGATCCTAACGAAGAGGCTAAGTAAACTCACTCTGATGAAGTCCTTTGCTACATTGCGGTATAAACGACCGCCGAACATTCCACGCGCACGCTGTCAGCCTACGGCAAGCTGAGTGGTCAGCCACAATTCTGCAAAGTAGGACGCTCATTGGTCGGAAACCTGACGGGCTACAACAGTCTGCAGTCAAGTCTGACCAGATATGTTCACAGGTTTCATGTGTTTCTCGAGGATCCACTAAAATGATAGCCTTATGGTAAGGCACTTTTGGCGATGGAGAAGTCGGATCAGTAGTAATGGTAAGTGGTATGGGCTGGCGGTTCCGGGTTCGACGGAAAATATATTAGGATATTAGCATCATTCACATAAGACAGACAGACATACAGGGAAATAAAAATAGTAGTGGATAGGAGGACAGAAGAAAATATATGGCCACGTTTTAGTCCTTTTTATTTGTACCGTATTCAGTTCTTCAACCTGTGATGTTGTGTATCTTCTTTCCGCTTATATTATAAAATTTCGTATTTTGTCAATTGCATAGCAGTTTTCTTCAAATACGAAGAAATACAAAAACGCGCATTTGTATGGTTGCACGCAATAAAAACGTAGTCACGTGCTTCGACTCCTTCTTCTGATTTCGCTCGCGCTTACATCGGTTATTCGCAAGTCCCATGTGCTAACTCTGGTATCAGAACATTTCAAACTACCTTCGGAATCTATCGGAAGACCCCTGAAAAACCATGATTGGGTTATCGTTTATTCGCTGACCTGTGCCAACGACGAACTATTTTGAATGGAACAATTATTAGCGAGTCTGTCCTATCTGACCACTTTATTATTATGTACCCAATCTAGCGTTATTAGTTTTACTTCTTTGCCACACGCCCCCACACAGCAGCTTTTTGGGTAGCCGGACCACCACAAATCTAGTTATCCCAGTTTTCCCTTTGGCCATACACTTCCTCCTATCTTGTGTTCATTACATTTTCATTTCATACAGAGATGGCAGTGAAGATCAGCAGGACGTTGGAAGGCAACGCAAGTCGTTGCAAAATCGGACCAGTTTTCCATCCCGCTACTGTCCACACGCGAGTAACCCTCCGATCGGTGGTTAGCTGGGTCTAGGATTTATCTGGCTCATGTTTGAAGATCAGCAGTAGTTTGCCCGGCAGCTCATTTAAAGCCACTCTAACTGAGTAGAATTGCTCCTAAGCCATAGTGGCCAGCTAATGAACTAGTATGATGGGACAACCACTTACATATATCTAGACGGTAATTCTTACCCTAGCCCGCTAGCTTGACGATCGCCAGCTATCAGTGACCTTCGTGCAGCCAGAACGAGTCAGCTAACCGCCACTGTCCATTATGCTAACAGAAGAGTGGATATCTTCGCTGAAATTGCGAGCGTCTCTAAGCAGTATGAGTAGAACATTTTTGGCGACTGCATTTCTGTTAAGTCTC